AGCTCATGTTAAACTTCTTAACATTATTTGAGAAATATGCAAATTAAATGGAAGAGATGCATCTTTACTTAATTTATCTGATCTCGAGTTGATTATTCTGGTTTGTAGTAAGAAGATAATGGTATAATGTTACCAATTTTTAATGGAAGAGAGCCAGTAGCTTTGTATGCATTTAACAACAACTACGGGAAGAAACCTCGTGCTTTGTCTTAATATTTTTCAACATGATGCAGAACTGTACAAAGAGATTCACCTTTTCTTAATTCTCTAGTATCTCGGGATGATTATTGTGGATTTTATTAACAAGATAATGGTATAAAGCCTCCAATTTTTAATGGAAGAGAGCCAAGAGTCTTGTATGAATTTGACAAAATAACGAGCGAAAGTGCCTTTGTATTTCAATAAACTAGTGAAATGTGCATAGAGATGCACCTTTTCTTAATTTTCCATAGCTTCAAGACGATTATTTCTGTTTATATTAAGAAGAAAATGGCGCAATATTGCCAAAACAGAAACAATTCTTTGATGGTAGAACCATCAGCCACGTATGTATATTTATTACGTAGCCGCAACACGAAACAAAGAAGAGAGACATCATCCTGGGGCTGAGCCACTCTTTATCTATCTAAGCAAATTTCCCACCAGGGGGTAGTGCATACAGGGTGGCGCTGTTGTCGTCGCCCCGGAGGCTGCAGTTCCGGAGCGTGATAGATGTTGGCGAGAGGCGCAGAAGACAGTTCTATTGACAGCCCCGTATATCTGGCAGAAAGTAGACGGGGAATTAGAGACAGACAAGCTGTCTCCGAGTAATAAGCTCTAGTTTCTCCGTTTGAATATCAATCTAAACTCAGCTGACAAAATGGCGGACGAACGGGGGATGAGAGATTTAAACGCCTTGTAGCACCATCTGACGACTCTTGACGGCTGCCAGATATTGCACTTGTTCACCCTCATTTTTTTCATCTGGCGGTTTTTTTTATCAGAATTTTTAATGCTAGTGGGATATTAGAACGTATAGAAAGATGTTATGAATGATGGAAGAATGCTCGCGCGAGTCCTGTAACTCTAGAGCAATAAGGTGAAGTAACCTGTGAAGGCCTGGCGTAAATCTGTGAAATTCCGCCGCGTTGCAAACACTATAAAACTATCAAATTTAAAAATTAATAAGTCCACAAAATTGCTACAAAGGAAATCTCGAAAGGTCGTCAGAAAATTATGAATTAAATCCATAAAAACTGGAAAAGCCCCCTCCCCTAAATAATTACACCATCCGTTCGATACACGGAATTTATTATGAGTAAGGAAAGGAATATATTGCAGACAGCCCATTTTTTTCCCAATGATTTAGACGATTTTTTCAAACTTTACTTTTTTGAAAAAGTCCAGACGTTTGGAGCACCTCTACAGATGAAAGCGGCAAGAAAACTCTACTTCACTCCCTCCCTTCCTCCACCCTCGATCGGGGGAGGGGGTGGAAGTTGACAGGAGACCAGAACCCTGTCCGACATGGTCCCACGTTCCGTACTTACGACAGCCCGTCAATCAAAGTTTACCATTTGGAGAGCGACGGTTTCGTGTTTTTAAATTCACTCTGGGTTCGCTGTCGTTACAAGACGGAGGTGGAGTTACCTGGAGTGTACGGTCTTGTAGCTGTCGTCGGGATATATCTGTCCGCCAACTTTGTCAAGGGCTTTTTGGCAAAGGGATTTTAACCATTGAAGGTTCCAAACTTTCTAAACTAAACTCTATTGAAAATCAAAGTGATTGAGAGATAAAACTATGCTCTAAATTGTTTTCAATTACTTATTCTTACAATGGATAAACTTATCGCGTGAATGGGTCATAAATAATCATATACCAGCGACAAAATCGATAAATACACCCCATTTAGCGCTTAATAAACTTAAAATTATGACCATTTACACTAATTTAAATCACTAAAAAAAGCAGAATTTTGCTACCTCATCATGGCTTGAGAGATTCGAAATTAGAAAGGAGTAGGCTCACTTGGACGAATTTAATCGAATGTGCGAGCTGTTAAAGGACAAAATCATCTTTACAAAGCATAAAATACATCTTAATCTTCGACCCTCTATCGATGAAATCCCAATAAGGATCGACAATTCAGGTAGAGGAGACGTTAAAGATATAACAAGTTTAGGCATTTTTAAAAGTAGTCTAGACTAAATTTGACTTATGGCACAATCATTTGGAGGTGTTGATGTGATGGAGAGGGTGCCGAACTTTTATCCTCCCCATCTTTCACAGTTATGACGTAATTTTATCTAAAAACCTAGGCTAGGAGAACATTACTGATAATAACCATCGAAAGTATTAGAAATGATAATAAAATGTCCTTGAATAATAGGATAAGACCTTTGTTACATCACGTGGATTTATTTTTAGTAATTACATTCTAAATTTAACTTTATTAAACTAGTTTATCCTTATAGAAATTTAGTGTTTTTTTGGGAGAAACTCATTAATTAAACACTCGAAACGACGACCCTACTTTTAGGTCGTGTGTTGAAGGTTTTTTGAACGTGCAGAATTCGTTTCATTGGCCCACCGGGCATAAAAATAATACAGTTCGTGGCAAGAAATAAAAAAAAAAATAATAATATATGAAAAATGATTTAATGTTTCGTTCGTGTCTGATAGAAGGCCACAGAAATCCATAATAAACGGCCCGTAGCCATCTTGAAAAAGTTGTAAATTAGAAAAATCATTAGGTGATACTTTAAAAATAAGAAATTCTTTTAAAATTTTAAGTTATCCTTAAGGATTTTCGAGGTTTTTAAGGTTAATCGTACGTAACTGTCGAGAAATTTTATGCTTAGTAATAGGAAATTGCTGGGATTTTTTAATGTTATTTTCTAGAAACCTGTTGAGATTTTTAAAGTTTGCTGTAGGGAACTGATGACATTTATAAGGTTAATCATTGAATGCCCTTAAAAATTTCAAGGTTAATGTAGAAAAATCATCAAAATTTTTTAAATTTAATTATAAAGATAATCGAATTTTTAAGGTAGATTGTAGAGATATTGAAGTATTTTAAAGCTTATTTTCGAGCAAATTTGTAGGGAATTTTTAGGGATTCTTAGTTCATTTGCAGAAAGCTATTGTATTTAAGTTTAGAGCGAAGAATTTTGTTAATACTTTTAGGGTTGATTGCTTAAAACTGTCGAAACTTCCGAGATTAACTAGATACAAATTTCAGGGATCTGTGCGAGTTAAAATGTAGAAATTCCGAATGTTTAGAGTGAAATAATAAATTGAAATTGCTTTTACACAATGGCCTATTAGGGCCTAGGATCGAGTTAAGTGTAATTGGAGAACTATTAAGGCCTTGTTAAGTCTTTGATACCGTCTAAATAGGTCATTAGATATTATGAAACGTTCGGTAGTCATCTAGCCTACAGACAGACAAGTCAGACGGCCTGGATCTAAGTATTTGTTAAGTTTAAGAAAGATTTAAGCAAATAATTTAGTCAAAATTCCAGAATTTTGCGTTGTATTTTAAAAATGAAGTGATGCGGAAAGAGAAACATAATTACTAAACAAGTAGAGATAATAATCAATACATGTTCCTACAACGAAAACAAAATTTAACTTTAAAGCCTTCTCTTGTATCAAGTTGAAATATTATGGCCTTGAATTTATCAGGCCTATTTTATAGTCAGTGGTGCATCAGGTAGAAATGCGATCTCCATACAGCTGGCGTCAAAATAATTTCTACTATTTCACTTCATGGATATATATATCGATACATTTTCCTAAATTTTAGCTTAGAAGGCCCCAGAAACGGTCGATATGGAAGTTGTGCTTTGGTTCAATTCGAGGAATTAAATGGTCTTTTGATGGATTTAAACAATTCTCCCTTTCAAGATGGCGAATGTCACTCTTTCTACACGCTTGACGTAATCGAAATTACGAACAGAGCGTGATTTCAGGACGCCTACGTGACAAAACCTCATAACCTCTGATCTGTATGGTTTTTCCATTAGAAAGAAGTTTATCTCTGTAATTTCTAGAATAATTTAACCATCATCCATTGTTGTAAATTCCATCTTTAACCGTCCTTCAATACTCGAACTAATACAGACAAGAGTATACAAAAGTCACAAAATTCTAAAACCACCCTCTATATATTTCGATCGTAGCCTTAATAGACTAAGTATATATCAATTTTATAATTTTTTGAGTCTTTTATAATCGATAAAATTCATTAAAACAGCCGAAAAATTAAGCCTATTAAGGCCTAATCACTTGAAGGCCTAAAAGTTTCCTATTATATAGGCCAATAATACAAATTAAATTTACACAAAATCCGGTCCCTGTGCAAGCTTTAAACGTCTTTAAATTCAATATAATTATACTTTATTTATATAATTAGGCATATCGAAATAGGCCACCTAATAATCTATTTAATAAAATTATTAGTCAGCGCCAAGCCCCGCCAAGTCCATAAGTTTCTATCGGTCCACGTTATAAATTTAATCAACCCGATCGATATTTTACCTAGGCCGGTTAGGCCTCATAATTACGAATATACACATCAGCAATCCTGCTTAACACTACTGCAGCCCATGGAGGGGGGGAGTCGAGCGACAACCGAGATGAAAGTGGGAAGGGAATGACTATTTAACCGCATCTCTCTATATTATTGATTTAGCAGCACTTTATAAATATATCCAGTTTGCCAAGATGTCAACGATTGTGTTCACGAACTGCGAATCAATCCTAATTTGCTGTGTTACGCTCTTATGCAAGAGCGTTAGATCCTTAAATTCTTCCTTCCATTTAGGAATTTTAGCGAAATTGCACATCATTTGATCATCTTAACTTCCCCCCGTTTCTATCGCGCAATTCCGTTTAATTCTGGTTACTGCTCTCGAAGATACCTGCGCTTTGCGTGAAGGCCCACTAGGCCGTAGCGTGGTTTGAGGCCTCATTTAGGGAAGGCCCTAGTTTTATGAATGAAAATAAAGTGTACTCACTGAAGGCGAGTAGAAGGCAGACTGCTCGGCACTTAAAGGAAGAAATCCTTGGTCACCACCGAAGGCTGCAGCAGCTGCAGCAGCGGCCGCCGTACCATACATGTTGAGCGGCAGGCCGGATGCCGCCAATCGCTGATAGTTGATCAACTGGGCATCGTACTGGCACGAACACACAGTTTGGCCGGTTATGGGGTCGGTCATCACCGGGCGACCTGACTCGCAGCATGGTTGTCCGGCTGTACTCGAGGTCCCATGCAGTTGCTGACCCGTTGTCTGGCCAGCCATCAGCAGCTGAAAGAAAAAGAAAAAAATTATGGTAAAATTAACTTCGAGCAACGTGCCAGAAAGGCCTCTAGGCCCTTTTACTATAATATATCGTGATATATTCATTTACATAAGTCAGAAACCCACTTAAACTAAACTGAACTCCTCCGAAGCGCGTAGTGCTCTGATGAACCCGTTGATTGAAAAGGCAACGAGAACGGCACGATCTCGTTTAATTACCGGATTTTCGATATCGTCGACGTTCAAGTGCCCTCATAACATTAAGCATTTCACTTATACGGCTTTACATGACGCGTAAATTTGATTTAAAAAAAATGAATAATAACTTTGAATTTGATCCGATGTTGTGGATAGTTGATGCGAAACTGTTGCAGAGATTGCATCGACGGAATTACTATAAAAGAGAGAAGAGAAGGAGCCACAATGTATTTTAAGTCAATTAGTTACTCTATAAAATGTTAATGCTCTCCACCAATGCCAGAGCAGCTGCGGAACCGCAGCTATTAGTAGAGGATTAAAGAATTCTTCTAATTTCCACGCTCTTAAAACTAGTTATCCCTTGGGAAACGACTCAAACCGCTTTCCGACTCATTAAGGCCCCCTAAACGAGGTCGCACCTCGTATTTTAAGATGGAGAATATACATCTTCCGACGTCGCATCCTAAGTAAAAGGCCTTCGAATGACGTCCATAAACGCGGGATTAAATTGGAATTATGCCACGGATGGGGGTCGTCTCGGCCAGATTTTAATTGTATTCTGTTCCAATTGCATGCGTTTTGTAAAGAAAGACATCACCCGCAACTTGGCTCCTACACCATCCACTAGATGCAGGTAGCTAGCTTGATGCCTTATGTATTTTTATTGTGTGGAAACCTGAATTTTACAGGTCGGAAGCGTTTTCTCGGATTTGAAAGGAGATTTGGTTTTGTCGACCCCTCCGCTTCTTTTCGGTAGCGTTTCTTTTTCGAACGTCTCTTCTCTAAAGAGAGCCATAGTAGTTTATGATAAATCGGACTAAACCCGATTCTGAATTCCATTCGTCACACACACAAGAGAGAGTCGAGCACAATAGACGTCTACGAGGACCAGAAATATCGGCGATAGAGGGCAGCAGTGGTCAGGCCTCCTATTGCCAACGTTTGTCGACTTAAGAGAGCCAAGCTAATCCAATACATCTGCTTGTATGCAGCAAATGGGCCACATTCGCCCGAGGTCCATCTTCTTCTTCCTTTTTTTTCCTTCTTCTATATAACGAGAGTGCGAACCCCGAGGCGGGCATCTGCGTGTTTGTCGGAAGCAGTTGAAGGATTTCTCAGATTTGTGAAAGTCCAATGGTGACAGATGTCAATACCATCATGTTTGATTCAGGCGAGGGTCTTATCCGAAAGTCAGTTTGTTATCAACTTACCCTTCTTCCTCCCTACTTATGTTAAAGAGTTTTCCCATTTTATAATCCCGTTTGTTGGTCAAATGCGTTTTTGCTCCTCGTATCCCTAATAAATTATTAAGCTTCGGTTATTTACAACTATAACTAGAATAAGATGACCTTAAACACTCGCTAAACGAACCTGAGAGAACGGGAGCAAACTTTATTTAGTGTTATCTACAAACTTAATTAAGTTGAGGGGCTGTTAAAGAGTTTTTTTATGCTCCAAAATCTGTAACTAATCCACCTTAATTCTACGGAGTTTGCTACTAACTTAAGAAGTTAAGTATTAAAACTAAGCTTATTCTAATAAAAATGGGGCCCTAATTTTTAAAATATAAACAAGAGTACAGTATCATAAACAAATGAAAAGAACACCGTGCAATAAAGAGAGTAAATATATCAGAACCATGCAACTTGGATTTACTTTAGGCCTGACTAAAACGTAGGCCTTATTTTAATTCGAAAAGTAGGCCTTAGGCCTCGAAAATTAAGTAAGTTTGATTCGATTTTAAGTAGGGAAACGGATACGAAAATGCAATTTTATCGATAAAATATAATAATAAAGTGTAAGTTGGGGACACGGTAAACGACGCTCGAGGTAGAAGGATGACGTTTCACCAGGCTTTGACCCGTTCGAGTGACGAAAACGTTGGCATCAAGCATAGGAAAAGTTGGATGGGGACTTTCTGCGAAGGCCTAACGCGCTTAGGCCTAATGGAAATCAAAGTGAAGCGTAGAAACGGTCGTTGGTACAGTCGCCGTTTCTTCCCGGTATTTTGGGGTGGACCGCCCGCTCCCGGGACGTCCATCGGTACAAAGTGACAAACGACATTCGGTCCCAGCAGGCTGTCAGTTCGGACGGTGTTGACGTGTTAAAAACCCGTTCCCGGCCTAACATTGGCAGCGTGTGACATTACGTGATGGTCAGCAATTAGGTATAACGAGCAAAAATACGATGTGCCACAACTACTATCGATCTAACGAATGGCGGATGTGCAGCCTGCGACAAATTAACAGGTCAAGCGGTATACCGAATTAAAGACCGCACGTTGATGCGAGGAAAAAAAAGTGGTTACAAAGTTAAAAATTGTGCAAGTGGAAGGAGAGGAACGGAGTTGCGTGGCACACGAAAACCTCCTTTCTGGTGGGGTGGACGGAGGAGGGTCTCCACCGCAAAATGGTTTGCCAGGACTCGGCCACCCGCCGGAACCGCAGCTCGGGGATGACTTGGGTGTCGGACAGAACACCTCCCGACCGAAACGGAACCCCCCGCGGGTAGTAGAAGGGAGCGCGAGTTGAAGTTTGGAAGCAAGGCACGCAACTTACCTGGGTGGTAGTTGGGTTACCGGTATAGCCGAATTGAGAACATGACATCTTAGAGATGTTGCTGGTTGCACATGCGGTCTGTCCCTCGCAGGGACTCGCCCTCCCTTCACAGCTGGCCCCCGAGTCCCTGCCGTCAGTCCCTGGCGAAGACACGGTGGTGCTTTTGGTGGTGGAGGGAGGGGGGCAAAAAGGTGATATCGGGTCGGCGACTGTAGAAAATCGGTAGCACTGCCTGGAAACTATGTGGACGAAAGGTAGATATCAACCAGATTCATGGCCAGTTAGTCCAAAAAACAACTTTAGTGGAACCACGTGAAAACGTCCCAACCACTTGACGAGAAGCGAGAGACTGCGCTTAGTGCACATAGGTGGCGCTGTCGTCCCGTTCACTACTGCACTTCTCCGTCGAGGTCGCCGACGCACGACTCACTCTCGGCTCCGCCCCCGGTGCGGGACGTCGCGTGCCGAACTAACCAATGAGGTGAAGCGAGATCCGTCAGTTGGTTGGCTAACGTCTGTTGAATGACGGGCGGGCGTCCAACGGTAGCCTAGTCGGGGCCGCGCGCCAGACACGTTGGACAAATTAGCATGAATGTAAGCAGAGTAAAGTCGGTGACGAGTTGACAGCACTGCGGTGGTGTAGGGGGGACACGAGACATTGTCTGAACGGTAGAGCGGGATGTGCCACAATAGCTTCTACCTCTCTCTCTCTTCCTGTCCAAACACATCGGCCATTGTAGAACAGCGGATCGTACCAGTTGTCCTTCTGTGAGTTCTTCCTCCGTTTGTCGTCAACGAGATGTGCAAATCGAACAGGACCGTTTTAATGCTCGGTCTGTTTGGCCCGTTACCAGCTCCTATTGTTACTTTCCTCTTTTGTCAGGTGTCTCTTGTCGTTTCTAGAATCGTGGGGGCGCTCTCGCTTTCCTAATTTTTAATTTCAAAAGAAAGATTCCCTATTTCTCCCCCATAAATTAATTCCCCCTTTTTTTATTTACTTGGCGTGCCTCTAGCTCCAAACTTTTGTATCCGTTCGAGCGACTCCGGTTTTGATGTCGCGTGAGGGTAGTATACAATAACTTGCGTGTCACGTGACGGCAGCAGGGTGTCGGCAAAAGCGCCGCCATCAGTCCGGTGGGCGAAGCAGACAGTTTAATCTTTGACCACGTGATGCGACACTCTTTAGGCCCTATGTCTGGGTCAATTGGGAGACACAAATGGGACAGGCGATCGGAAACAAGATCCAAACAGCCTCCCTGTCTAAATTGAAGTAGGAGCGATAGAGGAGTAAAAAAGAGAAGATAAAAAAATTTCGCTTTCTATTTTTTAGTCTTGGTTCCTCAAAGACGTAATTTCCTGGCGAACTGTTCCCAAGGGCCCAATTGTACCGGGCCGAAGACGAAAATTGTTATGCCAATTTGTCGGTGAGTGATGGCTGCTCCGAACCCGGTTGGACCTCTGGTCGAATTTACGGCTTCGCAGACCCCTGTGGGAAAGGTGGCCACAAACTCCCTTCAATTTTCTCCGTCGATAGGGAGCGTATTGGATGAAGGCCCCCTGCACTTTTTTCCTCCCCTTCTACCCGGTCATAGTCGCTTGCGGGGGCCACCGATCTTGTAAATGCTGCCATCAAGCCATCCTAAAAAACAACACCGGGCCGTAAATGGATATTGGGTACTCTTCTCTTCGTGCCGAATTGTATGGCTAACACTTCAATCTCCAAACGGGATTAACGTTAATCTGAGGGGGCGAACAAGAACGACGAGCCATCACGTGACTTGCATAGAGCCTAATTAATTTCAACCCCCCTGGCGGACCTTCGAGAGTTCAATTTTAATCTAGGCTCGGATACCGGACTTAACTTTTTAGCCCAATAAATATGGGCATAAATTAATCTCGGATCTTTCAGGATTCATAAATTAATTTACGCGAATTTCGAACGATCCCGAATGATTTTACTCGTTAATTTATTTTTATTTATATACAAATATTCGTATTATTTATGAGAGAAGAGCGAGTAAGTCGATAGATAATCACGTGTTACTTGAGGTAAAATTTTAATTTCTACACGCCCCTCGTAAAAAAAATACCATAGAGAAATGCGGCAAAAATGATAAGAAAGCAAACTTTCGGCATCCATAATTACATCTTAGATAAAAATCGAGTGTGATTGGAGGAATGGAGCCCTGAGGTCACGCGATTTCTCTCATTAGCGATCGGCGACTAAACCTCATAAAAACCATCCGACCTCTAGCGGCGATTCGGTGAAGTTTCGAGAAATCTTCCCGTCAGATGGCGCCACCAGATGGATAAGTATCAGATTTGAAGTGTTGCCACCATCGATCGATTTCGGTATGGTTTAAACACATCAAAAGGCTCTATGGCAAAATTAGGCGTAGTGGTTCCTAAGTCATTCTGTCATTGCTTAACTTTCTCAGGCCTGGGTACCCTTATCGCAGTTCTTATCTAGTTGGCCGCTTAACTAGCTGTTATATCCTCTTCTTCCTATGGTTGTTGTAAACTACAAATTTTTTATATCTAAAACTTTATTTTAAAACTAATTTCACGACTTACAATTTACTTAACATTTTACTGATAATTTTTTTATAATTTAAGATAATATTTATCTTTTAATGTAGTTGATGGATAAGATAATTATCAAACTTTTAATAGGATTTTTAAATTGGTATCGCCATTTTTTTTTCTACCAGTGATAACATTAATGTATTTTCTTTTTAATTATTTTAAATGAATTTAAGTGCTAGAGCTCTTATCAATATTTGAGGCCTTGTATTAATGATTTTTGATTAAATGTTTCTAATATCTTGATGCATTGAATCGAAGATTTGTACATTTATAAATCCCGCAAAAATCAAAGTTTTGCATTATTTTTACGTATTAAAATGCTTATAAATTTCGAAATTACATATTGCAGCATTATTTTAGGGAGTTTTTTGCAAGAATTGAGTGAAAATTGGAAGAAAGTTTTAAATTTTTCTGAAGTCCCCGTAGGAGATTTCACGAATTTACGAAACGTAATTGACTCGCAGATTAATTTTAAATATTAAGGGTTCTAAGAGAGTTTTGGATGTGTAAAAAGTATAAAAATAATTGAAAAAAAATTTGTTTTAAATTAAGTTTTTGAAGATTTTAAATCACGAATAGGTTAATAATTGAAATAAATTCTAAGCAATAATCCATTGTAAACATGTGTAGAAGTTGCTGTATGCGTTCAAATTATTCTAGGGTCTTCTACAGCGCATGTAAACTGAGAAATACTAGAAGGGATAGATAACACTTGTGAAGTTTGTGGGGGTAAAGATAGAAGACAAATTATACAGAGCAGACAGAATCACTGCCGTTAGAAGCAGGTAAGAAAGACATAGTAGGCCATACAACATAATATATCGTCCGGCGGTACAGGTTTTAACGGAATGGAAGAATTTTTCCCGAGGTGACTGTAAAACTAACCGGCATTTAACACCCTCACTACTTGCTACCCTTCTAGTCCGTGATTTAGAGGACGAGACTTAACAGCCGCTGCATACAGATGAATGGCCAGGGGTTAGTATTTTTTTTTTTTTTTCTTTTTCTCCTTCAAGTATATTTTTATCCCCTTCTTCACTTCTTCTTCGAGTCCCACACTCACAGAAATACAAGCACACATACAAACATACAGCCTGGGATTATGATGTAATTGACGATGCAAGAACTAAGGGTAGACTTTCCAAATCGTAGTTTCGCATCCCGGAAAATGGTTGAAGCTTTTTAAAAGAGGAGGGAGACGTAAAGCTTTAACGACCCTTCTTCTCTTGTCATTATTCTGTATCATTTAGAAAAGCGATTTGATAGCGGGATAATGGTTTCGTCCTTCTTTAATTTGCAAGTGCTGCTGCTGCAATCTGTACTTTCTCCTCTGAAAAACGGGGGGTGAGAGAGATGTTTACTCGAAAAACTTCAAACGGTTATCGGAGTGTTTAAGTGGCGAATCTTCTCCTAAATATTACAATTATAATAACCGTTTCTTCTTTATTTTTATATAATTTTTTTCCACTTTATAGAGCTATTAGACGATGTTTAAATTGTGTTTCCAGCCTTATCGGATTTATTTATGAAGTTCTAAAAAAATTTTTAACAAATCCAGGGAATGCTAAATAGGTGAATGTAAGTAGTCGAGATTGATTAATGTCTTTTTTGAAACCCTCCTACGACGAAACGCTTTGATGCGACAGGAAAAGGGTGTTTACGATTAGATTATTTTAAGGATTAAAATATTTATCGTTAATTAAACGAAAGTATAAGTTAGAAATGTCATTAATGGAGTCTTTAACGTGAGAACTGTGAATTTTTCACCCTATTTGGTATGCTGGAGTCGATACAATGCGGCTTACATTTTCGAGATTTGCAGCTCGAATCATACAGTTTAGCTCTCAGAATGTGATTTCACTCGTTTATTAAAGACCTATTCAGAAAGCTTTCAATTTTATGCTAATTTTGAGCACTAAATTGTTCTCAGAGGCCCTAATTTGTATTCGACTTAGCTCTTCTCCTGTCGTTAAATTATTATCAAACAACCTCTTCACAGAGATGCCAAACTTTATAGGTCTAAACAAAGATTCCTCTCGTGTAAGGAGCCAATTTAACTCAATTAAATTCATTAATAAACACATATATATTGTACAAACATGTTGCTTTAAGATGGATTTTATCTTATATATAGTTTATAAAAGTTTTTTTAAACAGCATCCAAAGTAACAACGTGGCATTAAATTAATAAAGATAAACCGAACGTTTCATCCGAAGAAACATTGATAACAACAAAATTCGACAGGTGCAACACATAATAATCTTTTATAATTCTAATTATTAAGAATTTTAAAAGCAAGAATTTCCGAGTAAGGATCCTATAAATTTTTCAACTAATAACGCATCAACTTGTCAAGAGCATCTGTCACGATCCAAACCACCTGTTTCGTCTGCTCTTCCTCTGCCTTATTATCCTCCAAACAATGCATACAAACAATAAATATAACTAATAATAAAATATTTTCTCGTCCGATCGTGTATATTTAACAGGAAATAACATATTTTTACTATCGTGTATCTGCTACACATCAGTTCGTAACATTTCCTTCCTATGCGGCTCTACTTTTTTTTTTATAGGAGGCCTGTTAATATTTTATATCCTAGTTACAACTTAGATTGACAATTTTAAACGTTTAATAGACTTTATTAATCATTAAAAATGTGTTTTTTCCTCCTATTTTTAAAGATATTACGCCCTTAATAACCTCTCGTTAGCTCGATTTCTTCGTAAGATAACTGGAAATCCATCAGTCCAATACGTGTCCTTCATCAGAAGTCAGTT